GCTTGCAGACAGACCCCTCTACCCCTCCTTTCTCTTTCTGAAGCTTAAAGCTTGCAGACAGACCCCGCCCCCTTTTCTCTTTATGAAGCTCACAACTTGCAGACAGTCCCAGTCCCCTCTTTTCTCTTTCTAGAGCTCACAGCTTGCAGACAGACCCCTCTTCCCCCTCCTTTCTCTTTCTAAAGCTTACAGCTTGCAGAATGACCCCACCCTTGCCTCATCCTTTCTCTTTCTGAAGCTCACAGCTTGCAGATAGAACCAGCCCCTTCCTTTCTTTTTCTGAAACTCACAGCTTGTAGACAGATCCTCCACCTCCACCCCTCCTTTCTCTTTCTGAGGCTTACAGCCTGAAAGAGAATGGAGGGGGCGCCTCGGCAATCACTGAGCGGCCAGGCCACCGGGAAACAATGTGTACAATCTTACGTTGCAAACCTGTGAAAGAGTGGGTCCGCAAAAGTCAAACTGCGAAGAATCGATGATTTACTGTACTCATATCAATCCTTATGAGCCTGTAAAGTTCAGTTTGTCTTAACTACATGATTCGTGTCAGGCACCATTATAACCCGACTTTAGTAAATGAGACCACAGTAAAGGACCACTATGATTGTGCTATATAAAAGTAGGCTTTTAATAAAATACATTCTGGAAAAACAAACAAAAGCAATTGAAACTTTGTGTTAAATAAAGAACTTTTAAGCCATATATTTACAGTAGTTTTAAGCTTTGAAGAGCTTTTTTTTTTTTTATCACTGACAGAACAAAAGCACGCTAAAATATTATTTAATATAATCTGTAAATAGCCAGTAAATGAAGCTAATATGTGCACAAAATTAACGTGCATATTAATTGCATTAAGCACAATCTAAAACTCGTCTCTTAATGCTGAATAAAGTGCTCAGAAATGTGTTTGTTTGTAGGTTAGAGATCCCAGTCAGGAGCCCTGCGGCCGCCTCACTTTCCTAAAAGACTGTAAGTCCACAAAAGGCCTCCCGCAAACCGCCGTGTGCAACCTGAACATCACACTTCCTGCGGTGAAAAAGGTACGTCAGCGTGAACTCAGCATTCTGTTTCCACACTCATACTTCATGGTTAGGGTATTTTTGGCCCCATGACTATGAAAGACAGAGAAAGACTTTGGCAAACCTGCTGCCACCGTGTCTTTTATCTGTTAAGCTTCTCTGTTTAAACTCTGGTTACTTCTGCGGTGGCAGTTTTATTTTGACTTCCTGCCTTTTGATTTGGGCATCTTGCTTTTGGCTGAGGGCTTTGTGTGCTAACGAGCTGTTTTGATTATTGGCCTGGCTCTTTATGGCTTGACCTCATTTGCTGTGTTTTGCTTTTGAACGTTGGCGCTTTTTATTTTTGTGTGCGTTTGTGTGTTTCATTTGTGTTTTGTGCGTTATTTTGCAAAAAGTGGCTTCACATCTGAGTTAGAGCTTCTGTCAATCACTCCTTTTTCACTCCCTGATGTTTCTTTCCCTCCCTGCTTTCCATCATGTTACTTCCCCCTGTTTCTGCAATGCATCTTGGGATCCAGGAAATGGAGTCAGATGCCGAGGATGAGGTAAACCACACCCTCCCCACCATGCGCTATCCTCTGCGCCAGATCTATAGCCGCCCTGCTCTGCTATTTAAAGCTTTATTTTTTGAACCACTTCTGCAAGGGCAATGTCAGCTTTCCCTGTCTGCAGCCACCTCCAGCTGCTCAGTTCTGCATGATATGTGGTAGACTTGGAAAAGAAAGTCATGTCTTATGTCCATCCATTGAACACTACAGTGTAAGATACAAGAGGCTCTGAAATTAAAACATTCATCATCAAAAAATTGACCAATCCACATTTAAGGTTTTATCTTGTTAAATATTTTTATTTTCCCATGACTAATTCTAGCTAAATTAGCTAATTTAGTACACTGTCTAATCTAACTAGTGGTATTTAAGCATTCTTTGACATTTTTTTGTAATCGTGTTCATCAGTGAATACAAACTAATGCAGACTAGAAGCTTTGCTTTAATTTGACATCAAAATGTGCTCATTGGGCAGCACTTTGGCATAAAACTGAGGTTTTTTGTGTTTCGTATTGTTGCAGACTGAAAAGCCAGATCGACGTCATACCTTTGCATCCCTAGCCTTACGTAAGCGCTACAGCTATCTGACCGAGCCTGCACCGAGTGAGTTTGATATCATTAATAACAAAAATATTTGCGTTTAAAATTATGCAAAGTCTACTGGATAAGTTAGTTTGCTAACAGTTTTAATTAACATTAAAAACATGAGTGTGTAGAGGTATTTCCTAATGTAACAAATGCCTATTTCTCATCCCACATAACACACAGTCCATGTGCTTGTTAATGACATGATGCATATTGTTTTGCATGAGTCAGAGAGTGTTTTTTTTTTTTAGTTTGTGTGCCATGCTTGCCCACGATGTGAGATGCACTTCTTTCAAGTTTGGTTGGTTTCCACTGTGGTGTTTCACAACTTCTGCATAAATTTTACTTTTACTTACTAACAAAAATATAATGTTTTTAGGGAGGTAAAAGTAAAAATTTATCACAATTTTGTTTTTCCCCTTGTATTTTGAAACTCTTTTTGGCTTTGTGGCGATATTGCAGCTTTGTTTGGTACAAAAATGCATGATGGGAGTCTTGAGTTTGGCTTTTATTGGAAAGTTGTTGTTTTGTTTTTTTTTCCAAGCTTTGCTTGTCACAAGTTTGATGCTGCATGACAAAAGGGACCTAAACCTGAGTTGCAGGCAGCACATTTTGTCATTTTTTGTTTGTTTAATTTTACAAGAGGAAAATGAGGGCGTCTACAGCTCTTTATTTTAACAGTGTCTAAATTGTATTTGGGGAAAAATCATTTTTGGGCCAAACAGATAAAAGGCATTATAAAAAGTGGATGGAATTTAGAGAAACTTAGAAGTATTCGACTATTGGAAGTCCAAAGAGAGAATTTGTTTATTCTGGAGCATTTGTCTTTCCATTTTTTTCTGTCTCAGCCGTCATCGTCTTTGGATCTTACTTTGCTGCTGTGTGTGTTTTATTGGGTTTCTTCTTTTTGTTATTGCTGCTGTTCATCTTGAAATTCTTGAACACATATGAGCACAAATGTTTCCATTTATAACTCCATCTCCAGGTGCACTCAAATGTCTTACCCCACAAATAAAACTGCTGTTATTGTTCCCTTGTTAATTCTACAACTACATCACTGACCAACTCTTCCTCCTCTGGTCTTCTCTTTTTCACATTTATTTTTCTTTTTTTTTTCACCCAACATGTTTTTCTGTTATCTTTTACTATTCTGCGTTCTTTTGATTTTGATTTTTTTTTTTTTTTTTTTACCATCCATTCATCTTAATTTTCTCTAAATTCACCTGAAGAAACAGCAGTCGAACGAAGTGCAGCAGCAAGAGCACTGCCTGCTGGTTACCCTCACAAACCTGTCTTTCCAACCAGACCTTACCCACCATGGTCGGCTGCTCCTATTACCATCCCTGGCCAAGCAAGGACCATCGGAGTGGGGGGTTCCTTCACCCCTACTGATTCCCCGCCAGGGTCACCAGCTGGTTCTCCATTAAAGTCTGCCTGGCCCCTCTCAGCCCCTTCACTTGCATGTCCGGCAACTATAAAAGCTGCCCTAGGAACATCCCCCCCAGCACCTGCCTTGTCATCCCCAGTTAAATCAATGGCTGAGATACCATCATCATCCCCCATCAGGTCTTACAGGACTGTGCCTTCACCCATTAAAACAGTTGTCCAGCAGGGCCAATACCCCATTCAAGGTCCTACTAGCCTTCTGACCTCTGGAAGTAAACCTGCCACAGACCCAGTTTCAATCAAAAACCTTGCTTCGGCATACACATCAAGGACCACTTCCATTCATTCAATACCAAATGGTTCTTTATCTGACAGATCTTCTGCCCCTGTTCCATTTGCAGCACCACCCAAAATGCTCTCCAGTATTTACAGTTCTAATCTGCCTTTTAAAACTGCCCTTGGGTCCACTGTTGTGACAGAAGCAGTGGCAGCCACTCTGTCTTCTGTAAAAAGTACCTCTAGTTTGTCATCTTTAAAAACCTCTGTTGATTCAACACTCTCATCTCGAGGAGGGAGGACTCCTGTGTTATCTCTTTCAACTGGTCAGATGACCGTTGCAGGCTCAGATTTCTCAGCGATGAATGGATCGGCCTCACCTGTAAAATATCTGTCATCCTCCTCAACGCCATCCTCACCCACTTCACGTCTTTTCTCAGAGAGAAGTAGCAGTCTTCAGGACAGGATCCAAGCTACCACACAGGCAGCAACTTCTGGTGTCAGTGCAGCCATAAATGAAGCTATAGATTCATACTCTGTCTCAGGATTTGGCACGCTTAAATCACTATCCTCCTCACGTAGATCTACAACATCAAGTTCTGCATATGGTTCCTTAAGATCTACAACTGCCTCCCCAAGTTCAGCAGTCTCATCTAATACAATGACTGTCCCTGTTTATTCATTAGTCAACGTGATCCCAGAGACCCCTGTCAAACCAGGTCCTGGGTCTCTCAAAATGGCACATCCTGATTCTCCTCGTGTCTCGTCCTTTTCGTCTTCTTGTGTTACTGGAACAAAAATAAAGTCCCAATTAAAGTCTCCTCCATTTATCACTCCACCTATCATTCACCCAACTGCAGCTTCCAACCAGGAAATATTGAAAGATGTTGCAGACATGAAAGAGGATCTAATTAGAATGACAGCTATCTTACAAACAGATACGCAGACAGCAGCCAAAACTGTACAAACATCGCATATTGGCACCCCTAAAGAAGCCAAGTTGGAGGACGAGGAGCCATATACTCTAGTTGAAAAGGTGAAAGAAGATTTAGTCAAAGTCAGTGAAATATTACAGAAAGATATGACTGAAGGTAAGGCCATTGCTGCTAAAGAAAAAGCCTCAGAGCAAGAATGGGAGGAATTTTCCAAAGATGAGATCGAAGAAGCACAAAGAAGTGCCTTCCCCAATTATTATCCTGCTTTAGATGAAGACGCACTCTTTAACCACCAATCTTTATCAAGCAAATTAAAGTTGGCTGAAGTAGTAGATTTCTTAACAAATGACATTGGTGCTAGCTCTCTTTCAAAAATGGCTGATCTGAAAAGTAGATTTGAGGCAGAGTTGAAAACTGATGGGGAAGAGAAACAAAAACGAGTCCTCAAACCATCAATGTCCATACAAGAAAACAAACTCAAAATGCCTCCACCAGTCTCAGGCATGCCCAGGTCTCCTTCAGAGAAGGACCTTAGCAAGCTTGCCGAGTCATATCAAGGGCCGGACACGATACTAGAATCTCCTGAGGACCTGTCTCACGAGCAGGATAAAAGTCCCCTTTCTGACAGCGGGTTTGAGACGAGGAGTGAAAAGACACCTTCTGCTCCTCAAAGTGCAGAAAGCACAGGACCAAAACCTTTATTCACAGATTCACCAATCCCCCCTTGCGTAACTGAGACCAGAACTGAAGTTGTCCACATTAGAAGCTATGAGCAGCCAGACGATCTTTGTGAGCCTGGACTCATGCAGGAGGCTGCATCTGCGCTCCCGACTGTAGAGCTTGAACCTGCTACAGCAAACGCCTTACAGATGAAAATGTCAGAAGATGATGCCTTGATGAACAAAAGCATGTGTCTTAAAGAGGAAACTCATATTACCACAACAACTAGAATGGTATATCACAAGCCTCAACTAACTGATGGCACAGAGATGATAGAAGAAGCCATGTCTGTTAGAGATATCATGAAAGCTTTTCAGTCAGGACGGGATCCATCTAAAGACCTGGCAGGGCTTTTTGAACATAAAGCTAGCCAAGATTCAGTGAAAGGGGATGAACTGACTCCTAGGTTTCTTGACAGAGACATTAAGTCCAAACCTAAGGTTGAAAGGATCATAGAAGTTCATATTGAAAAGGGTCACAGTGCAGCAGAACCAACAGAAGTCATTATCAGAGAAACAAAGAAACACCCTGAGGTTTACATCTACAAAGGTGACCGTGGAATAAAGGAGCTTACTGATTACGATGAGGCTCAACAGGAAGAAGAAGAACTTACTGCAGAAGAATCACTGCCCTCCTTTCTGGAAACATCTCGCGTTAATACCCCTGTGTCACAAGAAGAGGATAGTAGGCCAAGTTCGGCCCAACTAATAGCAGACGATTCATATAAAGCTCTAAAACTCCTCAGCCAGCACTCCATAGAATACTGTGATGATGAATTGTCAGAGGTTCGAGGGGAGTCATATAGATTTGCTGAGAAAATGCTTCTTTCTGAGAAAATTGACCCATCACTGCAGTCTTATTCAGATACAGAAGAATCTGCAGCAGTAGCTGACAAAAAACGCCGCCTAGTTTCTGAGGAAACTGGTAGCACTGAGTTCCCAAAGCAGCAGCAAGGAAGCCCCAAAAGAGAATTTGTTTCTAAGTCATCAAAAGATGGGTCTCCTAAATCAGGTAAATTCCTGCACAAGGATGAACCATCTCAGTTTGACAAGGTGACAGTGCTCCATTACTCCACAGAACAGGGCAGTCCTAAACATGCAGTTTGGATGCGATTTACTGAGGACAAACATGATAAGAGCAGGGATAAGCTGCTTTATGAAGATCGGGTAGATCAGACTGTAAAGGAAGCCGAAGAAAAACTCAGTGAAGTATCTCAGTTTTTCCGTGATAAAACAGAGAAGCTCAATGATGAGCTGCAGTCCCCTGAGAAAAAGCCTGTAAAACGAGAGCTGAGAGAGCCTAGATCCTGGCCTAGCTCAGTCTGTAGCAGCCCAGAGAAAACAAAACAGAAACTTAAAACAGGAGATGAGGGGTTCAGTAAAACCAGACTCAATGAGCCCTCAGTTGGTAAAATGTTTGGAACCTCCACAGTTACTGAAAAGAAAAGCTATAGCTTACCAAGCAGTCCTCAGAAAACTGTTGTCTATAAAACCAGTGAGGATCAATTAAAACAAGAACCTAAGGCTAGTGCATCTGAACCATTGTCTCCTGATCATGTAAAAGCAACATCCAAAGTCAGTGCAGTGAGGATGAAATTTGAATCAGTGGCTCAGAAAGACAATCAAAGTCAACGTAGTCCAACTAAAATTCCTCCACTCGTACAACCAAAACCATCAATAAAGAAATTACAGGAAAGCAAACTTCCTGTATTTGCTGGAGGAAAACCATCAAAAGTTACTGAAACATCAGAAGAAAATGGACATAAAAATAACATTGAGAAATACATAGAATGTACTAAGCCTGTCCAGGTACCAACATCTAAAATCCCCAAAGTAGACAAGCTTCCAAACAGAAACCTCACTGAGGTCTCTCAACAAATTGGAGAAACGAAGACTGAAAAAGCAAATGCTAAAGCTAAAGATACTTCCTCTTGTGCAACTCAGGAAAATAAAAACAGCAATAAAAGCCAGTTAAAGACGCATACTCTCTATGAAAGTGATTCTAAAATACACCAACAAGCCACAAAAAGTGCTAACTCTTCCAAAGAAATAAAAGATGAACTACCCAAAAAAGATGCAGAGGAATCCCTAAACAAAAACCTCAAAAAAAATGCAGAGTCTCATATTCCTGTAAGAACAACTTGCCTCCAATTAGATAATGTCCTCACAAAGAAAGAGACACTAACAAAGCCCTCACAGATACCTATACTATCTAAAACCAAAGGTCTTGAGACTAGTCCAGCAAAAACAGATCTAACCTTTGAAATTCTAGACAATGCACCCAAAGATTCCAACTCTAATAACCTTCTTAGCCCCAGGGAAATACTAGAGAAAGTTATAACTCCTTCTGCTCCAGTAACAACTAAAGAGAACTTTAAGGGCATCAAAACATTGCCTGTTTATGTCCAGGTTGGCAGGCAGGCAGAGAGAGAAGCTAAGGGAGCACTTTACAATGTCAAACAGAAATCAAACTCTATACTAAGCCCCATAAGCCCTGACGATGACACATTAGAGCAGGTTTCTTTCATAGACAGCTCTGGTAAAAGCCCTATTACACCAGAAACCCCCAGCTCCGAGGAAGTCAGTTATGACCTCACATGCAAAACTCCTGATGGCTTTATGGGGTTCATATCAGAACAACCAAGTCCCATCATGGAGGTATCTGAGGAATCAGAGGAAGACGGTCAAGGAAACACAGTTTTCTCTTTTAAAGAAGCCCCTATAAAGAGTAGAACTAGTGTCGATGATACTCAAGCAGACCTTGTTAATGCTAATAAAAAAGTAACAAAAGATATTGATAATCAGCAGGAATTAACTAATAATTTAAACAAAGAAACAGTCACTAGCATGCATGAAGAAATTAAAGAGCAGGAGCAACATAAAGTTTCAAAAGACAAGGGTATTGCATATATTGAGTTTCCTCCCCCTCCCCCTCTCGACTCAGCTTCAGAGCACTCAGACCCAGAAAGAAAAGGTTCCTGTGCCTCTTCAGAGACTGAAACAGAAATGATGGATGTGAACTTGCAGGAAGAGCATGACAAGCATCTGCGAACTGAGCCAATTATACGCATACAACCTCCTTCCCCAGTCCAACCTGGGACAGATGAAAGTCAGTCAAATGCTGATGATGCAGATGAGGAGGATGAGTCCATTTTCCAACCAATTCCTTGCAAGAAATTGATTTCTAAAATTTCTGCGGAGGAGGAGGAAAAGGAGGAACAAGAAAAACCTCTTAAAGCCAAAAGGCATGACAGAAATGGAAATAAAGATCATAGTGGGACCAATGGCTCCAGCAATGGTTCCAAAGGTTCCAATGGCAAAGGAGAGGACAATGAATGTGAACAAAATGGAAATGACCAGTCAATAACGGACTGTTCAATAGCCACAACAGCAGAATTTTCTCACGATACAGATGCGACAGAAATAGACTCTCTAGATGGATATGAACTGCAAGATGAAGATGATGGGCTGTACGAACAAGCGGAATCTCTCCGGCTTATTGGTCTTTCAGACAGTCGAAAAGATGTTTGGGCAATAGACTCGTTTAGGTCCTCTGACCGCCCTTTTCCACAAACTAAACTGGAAGTTATTGAAGAGGAGAAAATCCCAGAGGAATGTCAGAAGGATACTTTGAAAAAAGATACTGCCTTAAACAATGGCAAGGCTGATTGTATGAGTAAAGATCAAGCTCAAAGCCAGGAGCAAAAACATTCAAATAAAGAAGGATTTTCAGACAGTTACTTTAGTTATAAATTAGAAGAAGAGTTTAATTCTCCTTTTAAGACTGTTGCTACCAAAGGCCTAGATTTTGATCCATGGCCCAGTAAAAGTGGCGAAGGAGAAGTCATTGACATGGGAGGGATACAAGGGAACAACAGTGAGCCAAAGCCTTATGGACTAGCAGTCGAGGACCAATCTCAGGCCACAACAGCAGAAACTACTCCAGCTCAGACACCGACAGACGATAGCACGCCAACAAGCGATCCAAACCCATTTCCCTTCTATGAAGGGAAGATGTTTGAGATGACACGCAGTGGTGCGATTGACATGAGCAAGAGGGACATGGTGGAGGAGAGGCTCCAGTTTTTTCAGATTGGTGAGCATTATTACTCGGCGGGCAGGTATAGGGTCAGGGACTTCGAGGTAGATGCCTCCCCACACCACATGGATCATTTTCAGTATAATTTGTCAGTCCCTCAAGTCACAATTGAGACTACAACTGTAAAGATATCTAATGTGACTGGTGGTTACAGCACATGTAGAGACTCAGCTTCCAAAACTGAGTCCAAATTCTCAACTTTTAGAACAGGATTCAAACCTGATCAAAATTTTGATGCCTCAAATAGCACCTTTGATTGTTGTAACGACAACATTTCCGGAACATCTGTAGACAGGTTTTACTGTTTATCCTCCGACTATGCAGAATACTGTAATTGTAATACATCAAACACGGTAGATGACTCAAGTAAAAGACCATTTGTCATGGATCCAAATGACAGCATTTGTTTAGACACAACCAAACAATCCTTAAAACATCAAAACACTTATTACCAAAGCACAGATAATTCTTCTGCACCTTTAAAACAGTGTAGCATTTTACAAATACCGAACAGCAATACTAGCATTATCCCTGACACCCAATCGAACAATTCTCAAGTTGGCAGTATTGAGTTCAACTTGTCTTCAAGACCCACTCATCAGGAGGTCAGTAAGAAAGAAGCACCCTTCATCCAGATAGAAGAAAACCACAAAAAGGACAGAACTGTATCTAGTGTAGCAATAACAAGCACAGAAGCCAAAGAAGTCAAAGGCCATATATTTAAGTCAAAGTTACCCTTGAGAGTGCCTAGCTACAAACTATGCAGTCCCAGGCAACCAGCAATGAAAGACAAGGCACAAGAAAATGTTGATAAATTATCCTTCAGGAAACTTGAATCACAACATAAATTCAGGAAAAGGTTAGACCCTTTTAATGGTTTATTTCCTAAATCTCAAATTCCTATAATAAAAGCCATTGTATACCCTTTTCATCCTCAGGAGCAGAAGGTGGTTAGAAACAAATCTGCAGTAACAAACAAAGGAAGTAAATCAGCAAGAGATAACAAACTACAAACTAAAAGAAAATCCAGTCCTTTAAAAACCAGTGCAGTCGCCTCAAAGAACTTTAAAACAACGTCTGGTAATAGCCATGTAGCCAACACTTCAGGTAAAACTATTTGGAAGGAGGCCGAAACAAACTTAGCAGGGAAAGGTCAGTCCATTGAGGATCAGGAGAACTGCAGCCTCATCACAACCAAGAACACTTCCCTGTCAGAACTATCTAAAGCTTCTAGGAGTTCCCGTCCTTCCTGCACCTCTACCTCCACCTCCACCAGCACCATCACATCAACACCATCCACTAGAGACGTGAAAGCTGAAGTTGAGCAGGCCAGCAGTGAGAGGATGAGGACGAGCAGGAGGAAGAGTAGGCGGACACTTGGAAAGAAGGAGCGTGAGCAGAAGGATGAAGGGAGTCAGGTTGATCAACCAATCACGACTCCTGTGATGGAGAACAAAACTAGTTTGTAATCTCTTTTAAACACTAAGCACTATCTTTCTCTAAAAGATGCATGCTGCTGTTGTAGGTGCTCTGTAATGTGACGTAAGTGTAGCTGTCTTTTCTTCTTCCCGTCATTCTCGTATCTGTGTCCTGTGGTGTCTGATGTAGGCGTAAAGGTGAAGGCTCCTCCACGTAAGGATCCACTTCCTTAGATTTTCAGGTTTAATCAGACTTTGACTCCAGCTCTTTAAATCTCAGAAAAAAAGCAGGACATAATTTTCTTACCTCATCAAAATGGTTTAGAAAAAGACATAAGATTTAGAAAATTTAGAAGATTTTTAAAAGGCAGGAAATACTATTATCAATAAATTCCTCTTAGTTGACACTGGTTTGCACTCAAAGGGCTAAATTAGGAATATGAATTATTTTCTGTTACATTGGCTAATAGCGCACCTCTGTTTCATTGCACACCTAGAAAATGTTAGTCTTGCTTTTCATTAGAAGACACGGCACTCACCTCCACTTCCCATGACCTCAACCTAGAAGTAAATAATTTGAGGGGAGGGAAACACAGCCTTGTTTTTGTATTTGTCTGTTTGCCTGGCGTGTAGTCATTTAGTATATTTGCTCTCTAAAATCACTTTGAAAACAATGCCTTGGCTCAACTTGGAAGCATTGTGAATGTCATCTGCATACAGTGTGAGTATGTGGGAACCCAAGTGCAGCTGGAATACTTTAGATTTCAAGTTGAAGCCATAAGTTGTTTTTATGAGTGAGGGGGTATGTTTAGGCCTGTCGCGATAAACAATAAATCAATTAATCACATGATAAATGAAAATTATTAACCTCATTTTCATTTATCAGCTTTATCGTTTCTTCGTGTCTCTCTCTTTCTACTGAAGACACTGGATGACAAAAGGCTCAACTCCGGTGCTCTTCACTGACCCCTTCCTGTCTTTTTTCTCTTTAAAATCTGTTTTAACTGTCCAAAATTGTGTTTTTGAATCATTAAAAGCAGCTAAGCTGAGAAGCGAAGCTACAAGCTAAGCTAACAGGCCGACCTCTGGAAAAAACCTCCGTCTTGTCGAAGCTCCAAAATTCACGGTTGAAACCCATGCGTTCGTGTAAAAAGTTGTTTTTCTCTGCAAAAAGAAGCTGAGAACTTGTTTATTAAAAGTTTTGTGTGACAAATGCTATGCTAAAGATCTCAAATCACACTGAGCGTCCGCCATTTTGAGAACTGAAAAAAGAAAGACGGCCCAGCCCATGTCACATCAAGGGTCCTCCCTCCCATTTTTCTTAAAGAGACACCCTGGTTGCTCCCTCACTACCATCCTTCAGTTCAGTCTTATACTGCCATCTGGTGGTCAAAAAAGGCACTACATTTAAAACAAATTAAAATGTATTCTTAAATTTGACAATAATTACTAATTATTGTCAAATTTCAAACAATATTATCGTTTATCGCAATCATTTCTGAGACAATTAATCGCCCAGCAAAATTTGTTATCGTGACAGGCCTAGGTTATGTTGCTTGATGGTAGACTGTTTGTGACTAGTGATGTGATCCAAAACTCTTCTTTTCTAAAACTTTTATTACTAATATTACTGAACAGCTAATGTCAGTGTTCATGTGTGACTTCTGTTGTCTTTTCTGGCCATTCAAATCCTCAATCTTTTAATCTAATTAACAGCTGACTGTTCTTATTTTTTTTTGCACAGTCAAAGGTTAAAAGCCTTATGGATGTGATTGAGTTTCTATAGATAAATATTTTGTTTACTTTAGTGGTCAAAATTTTGTAGCTATCCCAAAAAAGACGCTCTGAGATTCCCACTGGAGCCATTTTATCACAATAGGTGTGTATCAGGTTTAAAAAAATATGTTAATCGTTAAGGCTTTCTTCACACAAACTGATGTCCATGCTACAATCTTTTATAAAAATCTGTCATGGATGGTCTTTGAAGGGTTTTGGGGATCATACTGAAAACGCAGTGTGCTTTGTGGAACAACATGATCCACATGATTTGAGCCAGCTTCCATAGAAAGGTATTCATCATTGTGGTGGCCTTGTATCAAAGTCCTGGACGCAGTGTGGGGGAGTTCTGTGGAGCTTATTCATGACTTGGGGTTCACGCACCCTAAAGTGGCTTTGTATCTGAGAATTTGATGGACTAATGCTGGCCTCACCTGCCGTGTTCATGACAAGATCATGAAACCAACCTACTCCAGATATGATTCTATGGCATCCATGGCCATCATGGTAGCTTGGCGCTTAGCTCCATAATGACATAGTTTGAGAGACTTATACCAAAGTGGGTGAACAGAGCATGATTAGGGTGTCTAAGGGACATGGAAAGCAACAGGAAACCCTTATTTTCATGTAAGAGCCTAGCAGCATCAGGATTGCCTTCATGCCGAAGGAGATTTTCTACAGTTTGTTAGTTTAGGTCATTGACCTCACAGCAGTGTCATCATCTTGTCTGAAGGGACTGAAATTACAAGTGAGCTTAAGAACAATTCATGATAACGCCTTTCAGTCTGCATTGCTCTCTCTTGACATGAAGGGAAAAAGATGAGCTTTGCAAGCAACACATTTAAGAAAAATAATGTAGCGTGTAGTTCTTAGACATTGTATAGAAAAGACAAAACATGGAGTCTCGGCTAAAGAACATGTGGATCTTATGTGTTCAGCATTTTAAAACCAGCTTATTTTAGTCCCTAATATTTCTTGATTGTGTCTTACTTAATGATAAAAATAATTACATATAATAGAATTGCCTCGGTCATATAGTTTTTATATTTTAGATATTAAGTGATTATCAAATACAAGCTCTGGCTATTTAAAGAAAATGTGCCAAATAATCCTGGCCGTGGTTATTTTTGAACAAATATTCTTGACTCAAAATAATCAGAGATTCATTTTTTTTATTTTTGCACAGATTAAACAAAATGAATGTAAACAGAGCTTTTCAGAGGAGCATGAGGGGTTTTGTGCTCAGCTTACCTCTTGGTTTTTGTTTTATATTGAACAATCAGGTGAGACGTGTAGCTACTAAACTCAATCGGTTATTCTGTGAAGTTTGAGGAGAGTCTGGTCAGAAAAGCTGAGACCTGGGACAGTGAATACTTTTAATAAGAACAACACATCAGAAAAATTCAGCCGCTCTTGTTTCAATCAGTGATTATTATTATTCAGTTTCTCACTGAAGTCTTGGATTTTATTTGCATGATCGTAAACGCTCCGTTCACTATCCCAATCTGTTTCTTTCATTAAATATTAATCCCTTTGGGATTCGTTTTGTATATTTGTGAACCACATCTAAACCATTTGAGGACTGTTGTCATTATATCACATTAATTGTTTGTATCTCACCTTTCCTGCGTCCTTGCTCAGGCCCTCAGAGCCCCTGTGAGAGAACAGATGTCCGCATGGCGATAGTAGCCGACCACCTCGGCCTCAGCTGGACTGGTGAGCCTCCAAGCCTTCACTAAAAAACCAGGAAGAACCTTAAAATCTACCAGTAAAACAAATCCAGATTTGTAGTTTTAAAGTGTTTGCTGCCATCTAATGGGTATTTAGTATAAATTACTGTCTTCGAAGTACTGCAGTGTTTGATCAGGCATCTGGTACCAGGTCAGCAATAGATTGTTTTCCACCTTTGGGATTTTAGGGGTGGGGTCTCTGTTGCTTTGTGCTAAATTTCCCATAAATCTAATATTTTGGAAGTTTTGTTGTTTTTTGAACATTTTTGTGCTACGGTTAGGGGAATGTGGGTGTCAAGAGTCAAAGTAACACACGTGCATGTCAATGCCAGGAAGAAAAATTTCCAGCAGAGCAAAAATTTTTATCTGCCAATGGTCATAATGTTATGGCTAATTACTGTAGAGTCAAATATATACTGTAACACCAAAAGTGATTAAATAAAGCATCAGAAGATGCTTTCTAATGTAAACATTTGTGAATCGTGCAACATGGTGGATTTTAGGATTAACTAATTGAAACGGATTACAGATTATATTCTGAGTGGGCTTCACACACACAGCGGTTGTATTTATTTTCTGTCAGCAGTGATGGGGGCGCGGTCTCTGCAGTTCAGTTGGAGCTTGGCGCTGCAGCCCTGCATCCCACGCAGGCCTGTGTGCGTGCAGCGGGCCGTGCACGGCTCTGTAACCATGTATACAGTTCAGGTGTAGATGTGTTTCTGTCTGTCCGGTGTAGTGGCCCAGGACTCGGATCAATAATTGATGTTGCAGAGCTGCAGTGAACACCGTGTTCTTCACAGATCTCCATCTGCAGCGTCTCACTGCGTCACTGGCAGGATCTGAACCACTGCTGGCAGCTAATGGACGTCTTTTAAATTGTGATAATATTTAATTGAGAGAAAAACTGTCCTTTAAGTCTCTTAGTTGGGACGATGGAGCTTTAGGGTCACACTAAGAAAAAAAACTAAAAGCCATAAAATTACGAGAATAAAGTCGTACAAGACTTTTTTTTTTTTTACAGCTCTTGTTTATTTATTTTTATCTTTTTCGACGAGTCCACGACATGACCTGTCAATCAATCCAGTAGACGTGTCAGCAAATGACCAATCCGAAGCTAAATGCTCCTTACCTGCAGAGCTGCGCTGCAGCCCATCATAGCGTCTCACCTGACTGTAAGCAGGTTCAAAGTCCTGATACTGATAATAATTTGATGCCGATGTGCTAATAGATAATCTGTCTCCTTATTTGTAAAACCAATACTAGGGATGCACGATATTGGATTTTTGGCCGATATGTTGAAACTTATTTAGCCAATACCGATATTTTAGATACATTTCTTTGTCAGAACATAGCCCTCTTATTTAGGCTTATTTGCTACAAAAATTGTGCAACAGCTATAAGAGCTGGTGACATATATTCAGTAATAGACATATATGTATAGCACTTTAACTTATATTAAATGAACAGTGTTAAATGTTATTTATTAGCATTAGTCACCTGCGATGCTGTCTCACTTGTGGAGGTTTGTTCCAGGTTCCTATAGCTGCAGTGTGGGATCCTCTGCACCCTTGTGCATGAAGGACAGACTTTTTAAGTTCAAAGTTTTTGTCTATCCATTGTGCTGTAAGACTAATCATGCTAACGGGGCTAACACGACGTCCAAATGCCTGTGGTAAAACTCACCCAACGAGTCGTGCTATCGGCTATTAGCTTCTTGGAATGACGTCGGAAATAACGGCTTGTAACTCGGGTAACGTTACGTCGGAAAAATATCTTGGACTGCGGACGATGTAGCGAGGTTCAACGTAGTCCATAAATCTTCGGAATCCGACATCCTCACCAACGAAAAATAAAACTTCCACACCGCCATTTTGAATTTTCCTCTCTGCCGCGATATCTAGTAGACGCACGTGACGTCATCGCGTTGTGCTGCCGCTGCAGTCAAAAACAGAGCCTTTTATATCGGCGAGTTATTTTAATGGAATGGCCGATGTCCGATATTGAAAATTATCGCTAATATCGGCCGATACCATGGCGATAATATTGTGCATCCCTAACCAATACCAAAGTATAACTTAAGATGTTCAACATTCTTCATTTTACCACATTTAAAATGTGGTCAACCCTGTTTTATCGTGTCGGAGTTCGGATAATATTACGACTCATTTAGCTTCGGATTGGTCATTTGCTGACACGCCTACTGGATTGATTGACAGGTCGTGTCGCGGATCCGACTCGTGGGAAAAAGTAAAAATAAATAAACGAGAGCTCTAAAACAAAAATTCTTGTACGGCTTTATTCTCATAAAATTAAGACTTTATTCAACTTTATTCTCATAATTTTATGGCTTTTAATTTTATTTTTGTCTTAGCGTGGCCCTAAAGCTCCGTCGTAAGTTGGACAAGTGTAAACTCGAGAAGTCGTTTAGGTTTAACTTAGGAGTGAATCTGCTGCTAAACACAAACAGTGCGAGTAAAAGTAGGACGTTTCTCACCTCGTACTTTTTTTACTGATCTTTGCAATGAGTACCTTTTTAGCACAATGTCGTGGCTGTTTATTTCTAAATAAAAGGCTCTTTTTGTGGTGGTTGCTGCTGTTACAGAGCTGGCCAGGGAACTGGATTTCTCTGTGGAAGAGATCAACTTGATCAGAGTGGAAAACCCCAACTCCCTGACAGCGCAGAGCTTCATGCTGCTAAAGAAATGGGTGCACAGGGATGGTAAAAATGCCACAAGTAAGCAAAGTGTGTGTGTTACTGTACATGTATGTGTGATAATGAGCTTTAGATCTTCATGTCAGAAGACAAACCCTTTGAGTCACTGTGGAGAGTCTGATGATTCAATCACAAGTGGACATTTTTACATCCAGGTGTGACAGAAACCAGAAAGTTTTTGTTTGCTCGCTTCAACAACAATCACAAGAGGCCATTTGGCTGTTTTAGAAAAGCTGGCAGAAATTAAATTTATTTGAGAATAAACTACATTTGGACACAAATAGGCGAGATATAGGACAGTAATGCTGGACGTGTGTGCTCATTCTCTAATATATACAAACCATTTTTTCAACACAACTCACAGGATGCGATAAATCCCTCCTAAACCTTATTGAGCCTTTTTTCCACTCAGGTTCTCCTCCAAGGAATACAATGTAGTATAAGGAATATAGTATAAGGCAGCACCTGTTATTATCCACATGACAAAGGTTTCTTAACTTTATATCTTACCGTCAACTTTAATGCGTCCCGAACCGCATCGTGTACCCCCACAAATATATCAAAACAACCGGCTTGGCACTGTCATGTGTTATTACTTCTATTGGCGTTTCGAGTTACCATGGCGACGTAATTTGCAAACAAAGACGCCATTTTTCCCAAACAAAACACCTGACAGAACACTCCTCACGCTAACTGCTGCTGTGAAGTCACGTGACTTAGTGTGTGGAGGCCCCTGAAGAAATCTTGGAAAGTCACTGTTGGATTTGTTTGAAACTCACAGAAAGTAATCATCAGATGTATCTCTAGACCCGATTTACTTTTGGAGCCATTTTGGTTCAAGATGGCTGCCACAGCTACCTCAGAAAACTCAAAGTTGACTATAACTCAGTTATTCTTTGAGATATTGAGCTGAAATTTTGGTATGGTCTTTGCTGAGGACGAATTGTTATACATGCCTAATGTAAATTACAAATTCAAGATGGCCGTCTTAGCTAAAAGGGAAAAAATATAACTCAGAAATTTGTGTGTGATGATGCCTGACAACGATGCACAACACATATTGAATTCAAATCTAAAAATTCAAGATGGTCACCAAAGCTAATTTCAAATGTCTGTAACTCGGACGTTTTTAGAGCTATTCAGCTGAAATTTGGTGTTTTAGTAGCTGAGAACAATCCCTAATAGACTCTGATTGCAAATCATAATCCAAGATGGCCGTCTGAGCTAAAAAGGAAAAATACTATACAGCAAATCAGCCATTTTTAGACTTATTAAGCTGAAATTTGGTGTGGTTGTAGCTGAGAGCAATGCCCATTACTGAATTCAAATAAAAACCCAAGATGGCCACCAGTGCTACATTTAAATGGTTTTAACTCAGCTACTTTTATGCACATAGAGCTGAAATTTGGTGAGATTATAGCTGAGAATGTCCCCCATCCCATACTGAATCCAAATAAAAAATCCAAGATGGCCACCATAGCTTAAAAAAAATGACTATAACTCATTGATTTATTTTATTTATTTATTTTTGCCATATTGAGTTGACATTTGGTATGTTGGTAGCTGAGACTGAACTCAAACACTTAAGTACTGTCAAATATAAAATTTTAAAATGGCCGCAACGTGGCAGTCCCCGTCAAAGTTTCTCCAGGAACTTTCTAGTTATAATTTAATCTGCTCGGGTGCATTTTTGAAGTGAAGACGGGCAGATTTGGACACGTTTCAATCGTTAACGTGGTTTTCAGATAGTCCCAGCTCAGTGAGGTCCACCTGAAACTACGCTACGATGAGAACTAATGAGAACAGCTGCCTTCTTGTGGTTGAATCATTCAGGAAGCAGCAGCCCAGATGTGAACAAGTCCAAAATAACCAAATATGTTATTGTTTCTTGTAATTCCAGCTTGACTTATGTAACTTTTGTGTCTCTCTCTCCAGCGGACGCTTTAACTGCGGTGCTGACTAAGATCAATCGCTTGGATATTGTGACTTTGCTGGAAGGGCCCATATTTGACTACGGTAACATATCAGGCACACGCTGCTTTGCCGATGATAACGCAGTAATCCCGGATCAGTCCGATGGTAAAGTGTAGCCCACCCTAGCTGACTTATCTCTCAGTCTATCCCTTCACCCTCCTTCACTTCCTCTCTCAGCCAAATAGTCAGACAAACAAACATTAGAGCCCAAACTGAATGACTTCATGCTCCAAATAGGTTTACCGAGCTTCGATCAGTCGCAGCGTCAGCAGTGTCTTTCACGAGCTTTTCAAAAACAACAGAAGTGACCCGTTTTAATTGGGTGCAGGAAAATCTGTTCTGTTAAAAGTGCATGAAACTCTTATTAGCGTTTGTTTTCGGAAAATGTTCAAGAGCATGATGAAAGAAGTGATCGTTTTCTCTGTCCCATCTGATAAATGTCATAATAAATTAGATTTATGGAGCTCATTTCTCAGATGAGACGGCCCCTTTTTCATTTTCTTACAGTCTGTGTACATTTGAAGCAGATAACTTTGATTTAATGCATTTCCTTCTTTCAAGTGCTACTAAAACACAGAAACAGAATTACCGTAGGACTAATACCTAATTATGGCATGTATTTGTTCAAGACGTATGTTTGTTTTTTTCACCTCTCCCCTCTATTTCTCTCTCTCCTCTTGAATGAAATGTGGCAGTAATATCTGGTTTTGTTGAACTCACTGAGGACTGTTGTTTTTCCTCTTTTGTCCTGAGCTGCATGCTTGAGATCTTGATTTGCAATAGTTTGCGCAGCATCCCAACCAGTGCTCGAAGTGGGGAGGGGGAGGGGGGGTGACTAAAGCGCATTTTGCCCAACAGATTGAAAAATCAAAACAGTTTTCCTCTTTAAATGCAGAACATAGAGGCATCAATCCAACCACAGAGGATTCCCACCATAAGCGGACGCAGGCTTCATATTTAAGCTATGAGGTCTATTGACGTCATCGCATCATTAAAAAATGAAACGAGTTACGTTGAAGTCTAAAGTTATTAACTTGTGCTTGAATTAAAGTAGGATTTTACTGGTTTTTAAGTCATTTTAAACTGCGTCTTATCTTTTTTTTAATGAAGATTTAAACAATTCAGCAGCTCCTGGTTTCTTGAGGGGTGCTATAGACCAGTGCTATTCAACCGACGGTCCGTGGGTGACTCCAATCCGGTCCACCAGTGAGTTAATTAAAAACATAAAATAAAATTCAGGAAAAAAACCTGTAAATTTCACTGTATACGTCACAGTTTTTTGCATAAATTAGCATGTCTGCAACATACAGTGGAGCAACTTATTTGTTTTTTTTTCCCCATATTTATAACCCAATTTTTGGCTGAGATCTAATAATTTCATTCATTCTGACATGGAAAATATTAAACACTACCATTTTCAGCCACTAGAGGGCTCTCGACTAATATGGCAAGCCAAGTGTCTCATTAATAGGTAAAAGTGGCTATTAATGAGACACTTGGCTTGCCATACAGAGCCACCTACGTCCTCTTATATAGACTATCTATGATCCTGGATGGTCACTTGGAGCAGTTCGGTTTGGTAGGCAGGGCGATCGGTTCTGTTGACCAAACGGGGTGCCCTCCTTGTATAATGGCAGGGGAAACACTGCATTCAAATTAGGCAGACCACCATTGCATTTTCTCCCCTGTATCAACAAAATAAGATAATTAACTGCTGGATGTCCGGCCCCTGAGCTGCTGGCTTTCTGTAACTGTGGCCCCCTGAGCAGTTTAGTTGAAGAGCCCTGCTATAGAATAACGATTTAATTAATTTACTGTTTCTTCTGCTCAAGACTGGCACCAAAATAAAGTGGTGTAATAAATGACAGAGAAAAATTTTCCTACAGGGATTCAGTGTACTGGGTGTTCGTCCAATTTGATGAATTCAATACATATTTATTAAAGTTTTTCTATGAAACGCTGGCGATTGTTGATCTTCAGTGATATTAATGATTCGTCTGTCAGGTCTTAATATTTATTAGAGATGCACGATATTGGATTTTTAGCCGATATCCGATATGTTAAAACTTCTTTGGCCGATACCGATATTTTTTTTATACATTCCTTTGTCAGAACATATCTCTCTTATTTAGGCTTTTTTTTTTTTTGCTACAAAAATTGTGTAACAGCTGAAAGAGCTGGTGACATATTCAGTAACAGCCAATGCATAGCACTTTAACTTATATTAAATGAAAAGTGTTAAATGTTATTTATTAGCATTAGTCACCTGCGATGCTGTCTCACTTGTGGAGGCTTGTTCCAGGTTCCTATAGCTGCAGTGTGGGATCCTCTGCACTCCTGTGCATGAAGGACAGACTTTTTAAGATCAAAGTTTTTGTCTATCCATTGTGCTGTAAGACTAATCATGCTAACGGGCTAACACAATGTCCAAATATCTTTGGTAAAACTCACCCAAGTGCTATCGGCTATTAGCTTCTCAATGATGTCAGAAATGACGGCTTGTAACTCGGGTAAGGCTACGTCAGAAAAATATCTCAGACTGGGGACGATGTAGCGAGGCTCAACAGAGCCCAAAAATCTTCAGAATCAGACATCCTCAACTAAAAACAAAACTTCCACATCGTCGACATTTTGAATTTTTCCTCTCCGCCGTGATCAGATCAGGTAGGCGCGCGTGACGTCATCACGTTGTGCTGGCGCTGCAGGTGTCCTTGTCACTGGGTTGTCATACAAAAACTGCATCTTTTATATCTGTGAGTTATTTTGATGGAATAGTCGATATTGAACTTTAACGCTAATATCGGCCGATATCGATACCATGCCGATAATATCGTGCATCCCTAATATTTATTGTTTCAAAGGAGTGCTGCGGTCTTATTTCTTCCAGGCCAGTCAAAGTAGAGAGATTGTTTTCCCCAAAAAGAGGAGGGAACGTTGGACAGAGGCAAACCTTCACTTAAATTACCAACAAACACGTTTTCTGTTCACTTGCAGTAACGATCCTCCTCTCTGGGCCTCTGATCCACCGTCATATAATTTAATTTACATTCCAGCACACCCAGCTGTGAATCCTTGTGCTCAAACTTTTCACCAATCATTGTTCCTCACTCGTCACCTGATCCCCAGAATCTGACCCGATCAGAAGTGACTTCCTGTTTTAAACCAATGTCCTGTGGGTAATGTAGTTCGTATGATACAGCTGGTAAAACCAACTGGGTACCGCTGGTCTACTTCGAGCACTGACCCCCAAATTGTGTCCAACCAGAAGAAACTTGAATTTCATGATCTTCTTGAAGTCATCTTGACACAAAGATCAGTGGTTTTCCCAAACCAATAAGATCTTTGTAAAAATAAAAATAAAAAACGGTTTCTAAATTTTAACTTTTAGCAGCTTCAAGTAAACCACCATGCATGGCTGTAGCTTTGTGTGACCGGCTGCCTGCTCTGGAGTTTTTAACATAAACAATTCTGAAGCCTTTTCAGCTCGTCTAAGAGCGTTGACCACAAGACGACGCTCAGACGAGTTGAAGCGGCGTTGTTTTTCAGTGTGCGGTCGGTGTGTAGTTGTGCTCCGTCACCGCTGTCAGCCGTCTCCTGGGTTCCTCCAAGCCTCCCGTCCTCTGGGCTCCTCTGCAGCAGACTCGCCTCCTGCTCCTCCTCTTCCTCTTAACGTCTACAGCAGCTTCTCTTCCTCTAACAAGCTAACTCCCATGATGCCTTTTGCTAACCTCAACAGCTTCTGGATCAAATCACAGCTTCTGCTGATTAGTAAAGGCTTAAAGTAAATCAACCATTTGCTGCAAACGCACCTAAAACCACTTGGGTGCAGAAAACAAGGCTATTCCTGTTTGTTTGTGCTGCTTCGTTTATTTATTTATACGTTTTAGCTTCTACAGCTGCTTTTGTAACTATTTCACAGCTATAAAAACCTTGGATGTAACGTGTAGAACCAGTCCTCCTACAGGATGTAACTAGATTTGCCATCACGTTGAAAGCTGCTGACCAGGAAGATTTACGCTGCTTATCCGTCCAGATAAGCGATGCTTCGTCCCTGCAGCTTCTTGAAGCATCAAGATTTCATTTTTCACATCTGTATTGTATTTCTACACATCTGTTTGTCTTCTCATCTGATTACTAACTTGTTTTGTGGTTCTTGTTTTGTCTCTCGTGTGTTTAAAAACAGCGTTTGCTCCAAAAGTTCTTAAAAGTCTGACGCTTCCCCTGTGTCCTCAAACGCCTCGTTCTCCTCTACTTGAAGCTCCTGCTTTCTCCTGTTCTCCTCCTCACTCATGCCAAAGCACCCCTACTTTTCCTTCCTCTGTCTTTCGCTTCCCATCTCCCCCTCCCACGCCTCCTGTTTACCTCCTCCCCATCGCTCCTGTTCTCCCTCACTTCTTCACCCTGCCTTACTCCCCTCCCTCCTCTCCTCCAAGTTCTTTCAGCTGCTCCTCATTCTTCTTCCCTCCTGATTTCTCTCCCTCTGCCCTACATTTGCCCTTGTCTCCTCTTTTCTCCTCCCTTCCTCCTCCCATTCTTAGCTCAGCTTCTTGTTCCTCCTCCTCAGCAGCTGTTCAGTCACCTTGTTCCTGCACCTCTATGCCCGTAACTCCTCCCACCTTTCACTCCTCCCCTGCCTCGTCATCCATACCTGTTTTTGCACCTGCAACTCCTTCTCTTCCCTCTCCCACTTTCATATGTGCCACTTTTCAACTTCAGAGTCCTCCGATTTCTGAACGTTGTGCAACGTCTTCCCCTTCATCCTCCCCTCCCCCCTCCCCCCTTCCTCCTGGTGTCCCTCCGTACTTCAGACGTGATCGTTCCATCCCAGAGGTTTACATTTAGATATTTGCTCCTCTGCCTGTTGTTCAGAAGAAGAAAAAAAAAACTACCAGATGAACACTCGGAGCTGAGGTTAGGTTTGATTTAAAGTTTTGTAATGAGGATCAAAGGTTATGCACAGTGTTTGGTTTGTAAACCAAATGATGCCGGAACACGCATAGTGGGGGTGGGTGGGTCTGGGGGTCCTCCCCGATAAAAATTTTAATAAAGTAGATGCCATTTCCTGCATTCTGGTGTATTTTAACGGGTTGTTAAGTAAACACTTGATTCAATAACTATTTTAGAGACCAACAAGAAGTAACCTGACCTACAGCTCCCCCTGTGTGAATAGAGCACGCTCCGCTTCTCTCACGCATCCTAACTTAAATTAAGCCCTGGTTATGCACCTACATTACTGACCTACATGGTACCGTTTGCACACAAACCCTCCGTGCCATCTGGATGGGGAGGACAACAAGTGAATGATCCTAAATTTAAGGTGGTTTGTCTCATCAAGCATCTTTAATAATCATTGGTGCCATCATTTTTTGCACATTTCCAAAATAAAGAAATAAAACTGCTGCAGTATATAAGTAAATCCAGTGACCGAAATGTAGATTTGCAGTGGACTGTTTCTGGGGTAAACAGTTTACCATATTTTGTCCATTCAACGTCAACAGGAAACAAAAATGAAACCGTTTGGATGAACTTGTTCTTGTTAAATTTGATGACCTACAGCTCCATCCAGGCTTTAAAATGTCGACCGCAGAACAACTTTTTTTACGTTTTAGCTCTGGTCTTTGCCCCTCCCGTGCAAAATGTCGGTAATATCAGATGCATAACCTCACTAAATTAAATCTGTATGTAGCATTAAGTGTTTTTACAGAGGCTTGCTTGACAGTATTAGTACAACTGAGTACTAGTTTGACTTTAGTCCTGGAGTTTTTCTTGTCTAGTCTGTTGGACATTTGTTTCTCTCTGTCTTCATCCCTGTTTCGACTGTGTGCTTATTCTAGGAGGTTGGTTCAAAAGTCACACAACGTTTGTTAAATTTTAAACTCATGCAGCAGAACAACACAGGAGAACGACAAGACTTGGACGTTTTCAGTGTTTAAATATGTAAAAATTGTCTGGAAACAATAACTTTCCCGTTTTGATGACTCCTGAGCAAAGATCGGTTTTATTTTAGCCGCTAAACTTTCTATAAATTTGATCAGCTGTGCAAACATGTGACAGATTATCTATGATAAATATTTCCCTCTCTATGCTCTTTTGGTCCATTTTGATATATTGCTATTAAAACACCTACATTAGCAAATAAAATGTTAAAGTTGAACTTCCAAATGATATGATGAAATGACGGATTTACTTAAAAGTAAAGGGCAGAATTAAAATTGATAAATCGAACTTTACCTCTGACCATGGCCGTGGTCATGACCACCCAGAAGGGAGGGTAGAGCGCATGATTTGCTTGTGAGGTCAGTTTAAAAGCTTCATCATCTGCACTTTTTAACTTAAACTGAGGTGAAAGCCGTAACAGAAGTCTCGTTAAATTACTTTTCGAAGTGGTAATCTGGTGACGGCTTGTTCTGCTGCCTGCTTAGATAAACTCTGTCAACGTGTGTTTTAATTGTGTCTTCTGAACATCAGCCTTGTTTAAATGTTACACAAGTGTTTTTCATTTCATCACCTCCACAACTTTACCTCTCCCTCTCTCCTTCCCTCATCCATTCTCTAATCCTTTACTCCTGCCATCGATCCAGGGTACCACAATTATGATCTGGAACTGAAAACCCCAACAGACCTCACCTACGTCCCCCCTACCCCGCTGCGCTCCGACGAATTCTTTAGCGAGGGCGATGCTAGTGTAGAGTCCCCTACCAAGACCTCGCTTAGCAGACCTAGTGACCTCACCCTCGCACAGACCACCAGCCCTGAACCCTCCACAGGGGTCCAACGCCCTGGCTTGGCGCCTCCCATTGTTGGACCTGAAGACACAACCCTGACTAGAGGAGAAAGAGTCGTCTCTGTGGAGATGCCAGACAACGACAGAAGGGCTGCAGAGCAAGTAAGGAGGACAGAAGATGTGATCGCAGGGCATCGAGTCTCCTCAGAGAGTCAGGAAGGGAACCTAAAAGGTGCCGTACGCACCAGTTCTGGAAATGAAAGAGAGGAAGAAGAAGAGGAGATGACTCAGGAGAAGCTGAAGAGTCTGCTGGAGGATATAAAGCTGGAGGGAGGCATGGAGGAAGAGGAGATGACCGAAGAGAAGATGAACGCGATCCTTAAACAAGTACGACAAGCAGAAAAAGGCATGTCTTCAGTTCCAGGTTGGAGAGGCGAGGCGTCCGGCGCCGCCTTGGAGTCGGCAGCTGTTGGACACAGCCCCAGCACCGAGGAGGCCAGGTAGGGTCTGAACTGCTCTTAAAAAGGTTCAGTCTGCCAGTCCAGATGTTACTTGATGGAATCTCCGTTTAATTCAGCGCCGAAAGTCCAACTGATTCACTGGAGCAGCCGCCGGCTCTGAACGGAGGCGACAGAGAGACCGCCAAGAAGAAGACGCCTCAGGAGGACAGGAGCACAGCTGGACCAAGCAAAGGACGGGAAGAGGGAGGCAACAAGACCCAGCACAAAGTCCAGGTAAAAATCACTAGAACAACTTACCGTAATTTCCAGACCTGAATATAAGCCACGCCCACTAAATAAATAAAAAACTTGTACATATATAGGCTGCACTTATGTATAAGCTGCAGGTGTTCACGTTGTAACATGAGATATTTACACAGAAAAACTTTTTAAACTTTTAATTAAATACGTACCAGTAACATACACAATACGTACAGTACATGTTTTTTTCTGAATAATCCCAGCTGGTTTTAAAAAATACAGTAGTCTACCAGGAAAAGTCATTGATCTTCATCTTGCTCCTGTGCTCTAAAACCAATAAAGTCGTCATCTTCAGGGGCACAACGAGGGGGAAACTACCTGCGGGGGAGGGATTTTACCAAGTTTCATTGATCCACTATGAGCTGTTCGGTAATTTCATTGGTCAGATTTTTTGTTTAACCTTTATACATAAAGGTTAAACAAAAAATACAGGTAGACTCATTGAGTCCCAAAGACCCACCCCCCAAGAGAGACGTGTATTGGGCAGCTATGTGAGCCCCCCAGGTGTGACGAGGTTAAATGTTTTGGCGACATGAACCTTGTTACCTTGTCTAAAAGAAAAATCCATAAATGAGCTGCACCATTGTTCAAAATGTGTGAAAAAAGTAGCGGCTTATAGTCCGGAAATTACGGTACTTCCTTTCATTATCTCAACTCTTTTTATGTGCTATATAAATAAATTGACATTGACATTGACATTGACATTAAATCTTGTTAAATCTCGTGATTTCGGATAAACCTTCAAACATATTTTGGCTGAATCAAAAAATCCCCTAAATCATTTTAATTCAAACTGGTGGACTATCGGACAGAAAGCCCAGTCCAGCAGTCCCTTACTTCAAATGGTCTACTATGAGACGAGAATGGTTTGCACACACTGGGATTATTAATGTTACTGGGCTGCCTTCACCAGGAGAGCATCGGAGCTGACGAGTCCAGCTCTGATGGGGAGACCACCGTCACCACCAGGGTGTACCACAGACGGGTCATACTGAAGGTTTGTGAGGCCTTGGTGTGCGTCCAGAGTATGAAGTCTACACAACAAAAAAAAAGTCTGTGAAAGATGCTTGGAGAGGCTGAACCCAGTCTGTTACTGTGTTTGCTGTGGTGGTTTTGTTCAAGTGTGCCATTTTAGTGGTTGGAGAACACGAGTAGGCTTATTCAAATGTTCAGCGTGCACAGAAAACGTTCAAACTGGTTCAGAGCACCAAAGTCCACCAAAGGTGTTCTGAAGCAGTTTGACATGACTGTCGATGAGGGAGAGGGCGGGCACCGGAGGCCATCTTAGCAGCAACATGACTGTTTGTTTCCACTTTGGTGTAAGCTGTTTGGGAAGGATCAGGTTTGTTTGGTGTTTCCTCAGACTGATGAAGCCTTCTGGATGGAAGGTGAAACGTCTCGGCACAAAAAAACACCATCCAGATGATCTGACTGAACATTGTTGGATTTTATACCTGGGTTACAGAGCATGGACTTTGACATTTAAAATGTAGTTTGATGGAGACTATCTGCTGTAAAAATTCCAAGTAATTACCAGGGGTGTAACAATACATCGATTTAAATCGATATATCGATTAAATATTCAATTATATCGTGGCAAAACTAAAACATGGATTCATATCGTCAACTTTAAAATACGCTTTTATTTTTAAATTCCAAAGGCACGTCTGTGTCACCATTTCCGTGCGCGGCTGCGCTCTGCGGCCGCCTCAGCAACATGGCAGACGAGGTAGAAAACAGAAAATGAAATTCACTCTCCTGCTGGATTTAAATCAACTCTGTGGAAATATTTTGGATTCCAGCAGAAGAACGGCTCTACAGACAAAACTCATGTCGTACGCAACAACAGGTGCCAGTGGGAGTTCAAATACTTGGGGAAAACACAACAAATGTGGCCGTTCACCTGAACGCACTGGGCACTTTTAATTTAACTGGTTTCAAAAATGCACTTAAACAAGTGAGACTATACTGAACAGGTCATTTAGTTTTATTTTTTCATTAATTAAGAAAAAAAAATATTTTTTTTTTATTTAAATGCCTGGTGCCTGTAATAACAGAAATAAAATAGTTAAATCATATTTGATTTTTTTTTTGTAAATTTATTTATATGTAAATGAGATGGGCATTTGATATCACAATATATCGAATAGAATCGAAATCGTATCGTGACCGACTGATATTGAGAAAAATCGTATCGTCATACAAACAAATCGATGTAATATCGTATCGTGGTAAAGCTGTTGATTTACACCCGTAGTAAATAGTTCTTTTGGTGTTGCTTGTTTCTATAAATCCAAACATCCTGCAGATAAGCGTCTGATGCTTTGAGGTAACGTTTCATAACTCAAGCATGGTTTTCGTGCAGTGGTGAATGAGTTGCTGCTCGGTTTTTATTGGCGACTGAAGAAAAGTGTAAACTAGTTGTTTCTGTTCTTTTAAAGCTGATTTGAGTTTGCAAAAAGTGACTGGTGTGATCCTAAGATAAATGTTGCATTAATGGCTGAAAACCAAGCAAAGCGTTAAACTTGCGCCTTCGCCCTGCTTGTCAGCCTTTACCTTTCATTCATCCTGTCATGCTCCAACTTTCACCTCAGGGAGAGGAGGCCAGAAACATTCCTGGACAGTCTGTGACAGAGGAGCAGTTCACAGATGAAGACGGGAATCTGGTCACCAGAAAAGTAATCTTCCTCATCCTCCTTTACCTCCTCTCTCTTCCTTACCCACAATCACATCTCCTCATTTTATTCCTTTATTTTTCCTCTCAAACATCTCCCCCACCTCCTCCTGACATGCGTCTGCCCCTACAGGTGATCAGAAAGGTTGTGCGCCGAGTTTACAACTCTGAGGAAAAGAGGGAATGTGAAGGCCCAATAGTTCCAGCGGGGGAAGAAGCTCCTGGTGGTGTAGTAAAAGGTGAAGCAGGTGCTGCTGCTTCAGCGGCAGCAGGAAACAAGGGTGGGAAGGGCAAGAAAAGAGGCAAGCGTTCCCGACAAGGCCGCAAGGAGGAAGCCCAGAGAGACAAACCGGAGGTTGGCGTTAGACAAACCGCCTCGCTCTGTCAGATTAGTAATCAGAGCTTAACTGCACCTGCATGGCGCCCTAACCGTGTGAAAACACTAAACCGCTGTCACAAGGTCAATCAAGGTCAAAGTTAACACACGGCCTTTGCTTGTCCGGGCCGTAACTTCTGATCCAATAACTCGAGCGAGAAAAAGTGAATAATCAGAATCCCCCATCATTTTATATACTGTAATCCTCTGCAGTGCAAAACTGACAAACTTCTGGATTATTTTATTTTTTTTTTCCACTGAATGAAAAATGTTCTTTATCTAAAACATCAACCGTACAACGAAGGATAGACTCAACCTTGTGCATGTTCTGGTTTTGATTTTAAAAGTTTTCATATTTACTGTAGGTTATAAGTGCAGTTGATAGTTAAGCTAATTGCTCTTCAAAGCACGAGCGAAGAAAACACTTCTGTCCTCTAAAATCACGTTTGTGACGGATGCTACATTAAGTGTGACACCTTGTCACGCATCAAGCGAACATTGTTCATGTTGCACAATAGTAATTATTATTTTCAGTAGGGATATTGGGTTTTTGGCCGCTATGCCGATAAGTTAAAACTTATTTGGCCGGTAACCGATTCCAATACCGATACCGATATTTTAATATACTTTCCTTTGTCAGAACATGTCCCTCTTATTTAGGCTTTTTTGTTAAAAAAAAATTGTGCAACAGCTGTAAAAGCTGGTGACATATATTCAGTAACAGCCATATGCATAGCACTTTTAACTTATGTTAAGTGAAAAGTGTTAAATGTTATTTATTAGCATTAGTCACCTGCGATGCTGTCTCACCTGTAGAGGATTGTTCCAGGTTCCTATAGCTGCAGTGTGGGATCCTCTGCACTCCTGTGCATGAAGGACAGACTTTTAAAGTTCAAAGTTTTTGTCTATCCATTGTGCTTTAAGATTAATCATTAGGGATACACAATATTGGATTTTTGACCGATATTCGATATGTTAAAACTTATTTGGCCAATAACCGATGCTACTTTCGATATTCTCTCCCCTAGACTTACTTACAGAGACTACATAGCTCTCTCTGCTGTGGAATTAAAATACATTATTCTGCATGGAATTTGACCTGCTACCAAATGCAGATGCCAAAAAGGGAGCTGAAAATGATTAAATATATAATATATACTGATATATATAAAAAAAAACCACAGTGCCTTTTTATATATGCGAGTCATTTTGGTGGAATGTCCGATATTTAACTTTTATCGCTAATATTGGTCGATACTGATACCATGCCGATAATATCGTGCATCCCTAATTTTCAGCATTAAAGCACTTTGATTATAATTACTGAAGTATTTAAATGCTCTAAATAAGAACATTTAGTTTTTTTCCTTGAACTTGACTTTGGTTCAATAAATCAGCCTGCAGTTTGTAAACCTTTGTGTTGTTTTCCACGTTGACTTTGGTCAGCACCTGTATGTTCTGACCGAGGTTAAACTCTGGCTTTTAATCTGAGCTGTGTGTACAGCAGGATTATTAAATCCTCTACAGATGTGTTTTAAAGTATGCAGTGGTTTTGATGCGTTTTATATTTGTATGATAACTGTTCCCTTTCTTTGAGCATGTGTCGTTTTGCCTGGACAGATGTAGAAAGTGTAACATAGTTTGTTTTTCTCTTCCTAAACTCGTTTTTCTTGCAGCATGCTGTAGAAACCAAGATCTTGGCTTCATTAACACATACAGCTCATATTTGACTTGAACACAGAAGTAATGTCTATTTTTTTCTCTTTTCATCCGTCTCGTGATCAACCTCGCTCCCCGCACCCAGCCTGGAGATGGCGCCAACAAAAAGCAGGGGAAGAAGAGTCAGTCGTAACAGCAGCGCTCTCAACTAAACCTGGTGAGACGATCGCAACAACTGGACCGTCATCTGTAAATATTCAACACTAAACATGTGAAATATGTCTGGTGCCAAAAGTAAAACTTTCAAACATACTCAGTCATTATATCTATAACCAGATTAAAGATGGCCGCCACCGTAACAAACAAGAATAGCTATGATAATTTTAACAATACTGAGCTAAACTTTGGTGTTATAGTAGCTGAAAGTCACCCCTAACATACTTTGACCTCCAACACATGAGGCAAGATCTTTGTTAGAAAAACTTTTCTGTCAACTATTAGTCTGTTAGCAAAATGTTTCATGAGCCACCCGACTGATTTTAATGAAGAGACTAGAAAGTTCCTGGAGAAACTTTGTCGGGGACTGTCATATTGTGGTCATTGTAAACTTTTGATTTGACAGTACTATGTGTTGAGGTTCTGTCTCAGCTACCACCATACCAAATTTAAGTTCAATTTGGAAAAAAAAATCTGTAAGTTCTAGTCTTTTTTTTTTTTTTAACTATGGTGGCCATCTTGGATTTTTGATTTGGATCCAGTATGTGATGGGGAACATTCTCAGCTATAACCTCACCAAATGTCAGCTCTATATGTGTAAAAGTAGCTCTATATGTGTAAACGTAGCTCTATATGTGTAAAAGTAGCTCTATATGTGTATCACCAAATGTCAGCTCTATATGTGTAAAAGTAGCTCTATATGTGTAAAAGTAGCTCTA